TTCAACGCCGACACTTCTATTCTATTCTATTGTGTTATGGGAGAGCTTCCAACATATATATGCTACCCGTCAATATTTTAGACGCGATAGTGATTAGGAGAGACTTTACAATAACTAGAGCTGCATAGGTTTACTGGGAACTTCAGAAGAGCTCAACCCTAGCTTGCCTCGAGTACCATATTACTCCCTATAGACAAGGCATGCTAACAGGTGCACAACAATGAGCCCTTCTTACCGGAGACCTAACTCAAAATACACAAATGCACGGATGACCCATTGCGAAATAATTACACGAAAAGTAGGGATAACCATTTGCGTTACGAAGCCGAAACCGCAGTCGAAGAACTGTGGCCTGTGTAACGTCAATTCGCGGCAAGCGAGAACTCGCATATTACACGTACTATAGGCCCTCAAGTGATGTTTATTCGTTTCAAGTTTTCCATTACGTGGGAATTCCAAGGTAACTTTACTCGAAGTGCTCTGAACCTCGAGGTAGATGGTATATCTGGTGCCCACGTCCACCTGGAATATCCATTAAATCCACAAATAGCTGAAATAGGTTTAATATTATAGACAAGCTAAGCTCTTCCACAAAATTACAATCGATCGGGGGATGTATGCCAGTATTTATCCTATGCATTTCCACATGTTAGAAATGTGAAATTCGGTAGAATATAATTTTAAACCAAAAAACCAAGAGCAGAGATCATGAATGTCATTGCTGCTGTAATCTAATAACAATAGGAACGATTTTCAGCATTGCATCATAATAAAATTACTGAATAATTTAAAAAATTCACGAGACACGAGGTTGCAGTCGCCACCCCACGCTGATCATTAAAAAGAGACAGGGCGAATGCACGCATCCTATACTCGTTGCCAGCATGAACCTGGACAAACAAAAGACGGACGTATAGCGCAGCTACATTCTAATATCAAAATATATAAACTAATGTCTCAAATTTTCAGGCATGATTTTGTTGGCATGTGAACATTCTCATTTATGCCATTAAATTATTCATATATTTTTTTAGTTGCTAATTCTTGATTATGTTCGTGATTTGGACTCTAAAAAAACTATAATCAAGTTTGAAACCTCTTCCAATAATGAAATTTGTGATCGAATTCATGTATTGATCAAATACGTGTATATCGATCATCAATTTAACATAAATTGCCATTCTTTGGATCAGGCTTCTGGGCTTGCTCAGAATTCTTACGAGTTTACATACGAATATAATTTTAAAATGAATTCACATTATGTCGCATGAATTCTTGGTACGTATGTGTGCATCACGCACCGGCTTGCGAGGAAATGTTGCATCCCGGCCGGCAACCATCATAATTTCCCATATTAATCCGCTAAAGAAATGACTCATGCTCTGTGTCAACTTGTCGATAAATTTGCTCCTATTTCAGTTCATCATCAATCCGTATTCGAAAACAATAAAATTTTGTTCACACCCGTATTCTGATCCAGCCTCTCCCTATAACATCTGTGTACCTTGATTTCAGCATTAGCTACCGATCTATACCGAATAGTGTCGGGCATGTGCGATGAGTGCTTTAATTGCGAGACCTTAATTGTGTGCGTTGGAGAAAGCATTTGGAAGTGCATGTGTCCTCATTTCATTGTGCTCATTATTCTGAGGTATTTTTACAGCACTCGTCTTTCCTGGACCATAGCAGGAGAAGCCAGAAACTATAACCTGTTTAACTACTTCTTTGTTTACATTTCCACGAGGTATCAATTCAATTGTTTGGTTATTTCAGATGGATGCGGGCTCAAGATTCATCTCCTGTTTTCTTTTCACATGATAGGAATTTGAGGATACTGCTGGAGCGGAGACTTGACTGAGAAGATTGTCGTCAATAACAGTTACTACCACATTTTTTTTATTACTATTAACTCTGAATCTCGACTCTAATGAAATTATGCAGATTAATCAGAGTGTAATTCATCAGACAACAGCTGTTCTGGTTTTGGGACAAAGTTTCGATTTCATTTACCGGAATTTTAAAAAGAAACTTTGATGCTTCTGAGGTCTCCACCTTTGAATTTGTTATGCGTTAGACTGAAAGCGTGGTTACATTTTGTGGTAGGGGTGCTATACTTGTGCAGTCTAAGAGTTGGTTCTCAGCGTTTATCAATAAAACCTTATAACCTGGATGGGTTTGCCATTCTTTGCCATTCATATTATTGAACTATTTGTCTGTTCTTATTAGTTTCGAGTGTTTTTTTATAAAGTTAAGTATAACAAGTGTTTAAGCAAGTGCGAAACGTGATCCCGACCATTTTATTCAGTTAAACTGTTTTTACGAATTTCTCACTCTCCCGCTGGGGTAATCAGTAGAAGTTGGAAGTTCTTTCACAACAACAAGAAAAAATGTAACTCAGTACTCACTGCAGTGAGCGGCAGAGAGCGCATTTTCTCGTCGACGAAAACTTGAGGTCACGGACGGACGAACAGACAGACTGACGGACATGGCGAGCACAATAGTGCATTTTTTCCATAAATGAGAAAATGCGCTAAAAACGATGCTTCTGTAATGTGTGTTTATCAGGCTCACTACTCAATACTGTTTTCGCGTTCGATCTGCTTGTTGTGTATTTATGTGTATAGTAACCGGTGCCGGACTTCAAACGCAATATAATAAACGTTGACAAATAAATATTCATATCAAATATTTCCTATTTTTTTCATTAGTTTCTAATCTGTAATCGACAATTGGAAATATGTTTCTCGACTCGTTAATATTTCCTTCTCAATTATATTTAATTGTTACCATGAGAAATTAAGATATTGATGAACGTTACCTTAGCATAATTTTCTGCCACTATGACCTCCTTTTCAACACGAATGAAGTATGCACGGCGCACTTCTTCAGACGGCATTCGCAATTACCCGTAGCGGACGGCTGTCCGTTACCCGCTGATATATTCAACCCGTTCGACACGCACGAACTTTAGTCCGTGCGCGGTGAACCAAAGAGATACTATTTACCCACAACTTCAAAGTTCAACTGGTCTAAACAAGTTTGATTAGATTTGCGTTGAACCCTGAGAAAACGGTCCCCAAATGACCCGTGGAATTTTTTTTTTCAAACTGGCATTTAAAAATCAATTCTGCGTATGCTTGTTCGAATAAAAAGTACTTGAAACTCCATATAATTAGTGTAAGATTGATTCGACCTGATTTCTTCCATTCTCCTACGACTGCTTCCATTCTCCTACGGTGTCAGATACTGACACCGTAAATCACACGCAATATTTCACTATTTCTCGAAAATGTAACATGAATCACACATGACGTATCACAGATACGTATAACTTATACGTAAGTAAGCCCAAACACAGATATGAGTAGTATCATAGAAAAATTTAGCTGTTATATAAATTTAGAATAAATTTTATAACTTTAGGTTATGCAACTTTATCTAAGTTATATAACTTTAAATTTTTATATATAAAAGCTTTATATATTTTATCGCAAAGTAACTTGTGTGACAGTTATACATAGTATCGCACAGCTATAGTTTGTGTAACAAGTATGAATTGTAGAGCATATATAACTTGTATCCAAAATAAAGCTTTCGAACCCTGCGTGCTCACTGGTCTTAAAATTCATCTTATTTTGACGCAAATTTGTGTAGCGGTGTCCAATTTCTTCGATAAAAGGGGGAAGGGATCAAGTTTAATTGTTTCCAAACAATAAGAACTTAAAAACTTTTGAACTCACTCCAATGGCTCGCACCCAGCAGTAAATTTGTTTTTCTGAATTACAAATGTATTCATCGAACTCGTTTCTATCACAGTTTGCGACCATATTGTGTTTTTTTGTGGCGCTCACCACGATATAGATCAAGAAAATCGTTTATTAAAAAGACAATGAGCTCACGTTAGACTGGCGTAAAATATTTACAGACCTATAAGATAAAATCTTTACAAATTTCGCACGATGAAATTCACACAAATGTCACACGATGAAATGTTTGCTAATCTCACACGATGAAATGTTTGCTAATCTCACACGATGAAATGTTTGCTAATCTCACACGATGAAATATTTATTAACTTAAAAAGACGATTAAAAATGTACAAGCCTCGCACGTTGAAGATGGTAGGTCTTGTCTCCAATCTTTACTCTCTCAGAATTTTTCTTTTTTATTTTGTGATGATTTCTTCCTCATATTGTGACACGGTTGCGTTTGAATTCTTGTGGTGGATTTATTGCGTCATTTCATTTCTGTCCGTAATGGTTCCGGTATCCTATGTAAGTGAATCCTATTCGGCTTTCCATCACCTTTTCTGTAATTAAAATCTTCAGTTCATTGCCCTGAATGCTTTAATCTTCAAAGCAAATCATAGAATATATTCTGAATACCTATATAGTTATTGGGAATATAATGATTTGAGGCCTTCCGCCGTGCAGGCGATGTTAATGCATATATTTAGCCTTCGTTGCGAAATAACTTGATAGCTGAAGCGTTAGTAAATCATACTGCGATATTTGTTGAGGCAATAGGCGGTGTGGCAGCGTTAGGCGGTGTGGCAGCGTTAGACGGTGTGACAGCGTTAGGCGGTGTGGCAGCGTTAGGCGGCGTGGCAACGTTAGGCGGTGTGGCAACATTAGGCAGTGTGGCAACATTAGGCAGTGTGGCAGCGTTAGACGGTGTGGCAACATTAGGCAGTGTGGCAGCGTTAGGTGGTGGGGCAGCTTTAGGCGGTGTGGCAGCGTTAGGCAGTGTGGCAGCGTTAGGTGGTGGGGCAGCAGTGTGGCAGCGTTAGGTGGTGTGGCAGCGTTAGGCGGTGTGGCAGCGTTAGGCGGTGTGGCAGCGTTAGGCGGTGTGGTAGCGTTACGCGGTGTGGCAGCGTTAGACGCTGTGGCAGCGTTAGACGGTGTGGCAGCGTTAGGCGGTGTGGCAACGTTCCGTATAAGCAGCAGCAACTATCATGGGAGCTGACGCTGCAGTTGCTGGCAGTGCATCCATGGCAGGCTTGGTGTGTGTGTGTTGTGTCTCAAATGCAACGTTGCCTGTTCTGAGTTCTGAGTTAACCCCTGCACCAATCAAGAAGAAAATTATTTGGTTAGTTCAATTTCAAATTTTCAGAAAACATCTCACAATCTAAGTGGCTTTATTGTCTTGAGGTTAATTATTAGATTGGCAGAAATTTCTCTCTCCTAAATTGGAAAAATGGAACAAATACTTAGACTTGGTCCTTTTCAATTTTAGAAAAGTACAATAATTTGCTCTCGAGAATTAATCAGCATGTTTTTCCTTTGTACATATTTAAAATAAAGTTGACATTCTCTCACAGAACTCTAATCCAACTACAACTAGAACGAGTATGTAAAATGTTTAATATAGAATGTTTTGTTCGGTAAAACTGATTAATTTTTCTCACATCTTATTATGCACATAAAGTTGTTAGACTGCATCAGATATAATGATAAAATGTGATTAGTTATTTGGAGAGTTCGCTAATAACTGAAGGAAATTTCGAATTTCTGTATTATACTAAATGAGCTCAAAAGTGTGTAGATTGAAAAAATTTATTTTTATATGAAAAAGTCTTTCATAATTTTGATGAAAATATATTTTCGGCCCTCAATATTATCACTAGATTAAAATTCACGAAGGCTTTTACTCTCCTTAAGTTTGAGTGCGAATATTGCGTAGGGATTACGGTGTGAGTATAATCCCTGTTTACATGCAACAATATCAAGCATTTAAACATAAAAATTTGCGCGCTCTTGATGCCTTTACCCAGTCGTATACTTGTTTTACCTGCCAATAACAGATTCATTACACTAGTACAATATGTGCGTATCTTCATAGAACCTATCATCGCAGAACTTACCTCGTCACCTTCTCGTTCGTTATCTGTAAAAATTCGTAGAAACCCGAGTACTTCCGTTTGAGATTTTACGGAGAATTTTGTTTCCTGAGCGTGCTAATATTATATTAATTACCTTTTAGCAGTCAGAACGCATGATCCATACATTTATGATCTCGGACGCATGTGTAAGGAAACTTGAATTGTTGCAGTCTCATCGAGAAGAGAAATATAATAGCATTTCTTAGCCTTCAACCAAAACTCACTCTATAATTACGAGTTTAACTTATTAATTAGGAAAGGGAACTGACGAATTCCATGATCATTGCCTAATTTCAACACCCATAACAATCCTAAAAAAATATTCGTGACCAATATATAGTTTCTACTATCGAAGACATATTCGTTGTGAACTTTGAATTATTATTATTATCATTATAATTATTATTATTATTATTATAATTATTATTTTTATAAATATTATTATTATTATTATTATAATTATTATAATTATTTTCATAAATGATATTAACCCTTTTATAACTATTAATAAGAATTTATAATTGAATGTAATGTTTTTCTTGAATTTAGGAATCAATCAGGATGCGGTTTGCGTGGGTGGTGCTTGGACTGAGCCTCCTGCTGCCGATGGTGAGCTCGTTCGTCACGTACATCTTCATCTCCATGCTCACCAAACCTATCGCCCTCGATACCACCCAGGCCACCATACTCTGTCTCGCACTCATGAAGGTCAATAATAATCACGATGTTGAATATAAATAATATACAGTAGATTTAGTATGCTGCGACTCTAACACGTTTTCAAACTCGTTTCATGATTATCTATCTGTAAAGAAAACTTATATTAATTCTTTGTATGCATTACATGAGGTATACTTTGCATGTGTTATTCATGATCGTTTGCGCGGTTTTGGGTTTATAAAAGTCAGCCATTTTTTGCTAGTATGTTAATTAAAATACAGCAAAGACCTAAAAATCTGGGCTATAGCTAAATACAATAAATTATATAATAAATGAAAAAAATAACGAAATAAAATACCTTGTTTGAAGAATTGTTCTTCAAAGTCCTGAACCAATCAAGTCGTACTAATAACAAACAGTATTTTCAATTTGTGGTAACTTTAATTGCAGGCTTATTTTTCTTATTTGCAAATCATTTTACAGATGGCACTACTAGCGAGCACTGGAATTTTCCCCGTAAACATGGACCTGCTTTTTGAGCAAGTATTTGGCACTGGAACTTATCCATCGGACGACGACGCAACGACCACCGAAGTGCCCCTCGAAGAACCGGACCTCGACGCTGACCCGAGGAGTGAGAGGGACAGGAGGGCGGTGGACAGTGCCGGAAATATTTTCACTCCCTTCTTGTACAAGGTGAACTTTACAAATGTCTTCACTCCCTACCTGTACAAGGTGAACTTTGCAAAGGTCTTTACTCCATACTTGTACAAGGTGAACTTTGCAAAGGTCTTTACTCCATACTTGTACAAGGTGAACTTTGCAAATGTCTTCACTCCCTACCTGTACAAGGTGAACTTTACAAAGGTCTTTACTTTGTGAACTTTGCGACTAGGTTTGAGATGATACAGTGTACATTTCTCTGGATGGATGATCTGGAATCGGGTGTTGGTGGTTATTCAGCAACTTCGTTACTATGTCCAATTGCACCAATCGAATGTCACATGAAATTTTATTTAGAGGAATGATTTTCACTTTTTATGGAATTGATTAGTAATTAACCTTGTTTTTAAAATTCAGGCGTTCAATTAACTGCAATAGAAACTTTTTTGATGAAATCCAGACTTTTTTGATTCGAACATGACTATTTGGATTACAATATAATTCCATCAATAGATATGGAATATATTACAAAAAGGTTTCTCTACGTTTGATCGGAGTTAAAAGACCTGCTGACAGTTCTGAAATTATCAAGTTCAAGTGCCTCTTACCGAAACCGCGTCTGTTAGCGTAGTTTAGATTTTAGAGCTGCCCTCTACCTCTGATTAATAAATCTTTGATGATTTTTTCTTCAATTTACACTTTTTCGTTTCGTTCTGGATTTGTAACTCATCTGTAGGTTCCTGATGTGGCCAAAACTCCATGTTTGCGTCGGTTTCTATGCGAAATAGAAACCGTGATTCGGACCAGTGACGATTTCGAGAACAAGCCTTCAGAGAACGACGCGGACCGACACCCGGAGGAAGAGGTGGACGTGGAGTCTTCGGATCCGCAAATCGAACTTTACACGGAGGCTGTGCGTGCGTTGTACGGATACGACAGCCCGTCAGCCCCGGACTCCAGCCCGGCAACGGAGCGCGCCTTGTCGCTCATGCAGTCTTTGACGGGCAAAAGTTGTGAAGAAGCTTACAAGCTTTGTTCTGGCTGGTATAAGAATACGTAAGCCTTGTCGCTCATGCAGTCTTTGACGGGCAAAAGTTGTGAAGAAGTTTACAAGCTTTGTTCTAGCAGGTGAGAATACGTACGTCTTGTCGCTCATAGCTGTTCTGTCAGTTTACAAGCTTTGTTCTGGCAGATGAAGATGTGATTTCACGTTATGCTGCCACATTTTATTCATTGCCTTTAGCGCTTGGACTTGGATGGGTGCAATAATTCACATTTATTTGCATTATACTTTATATTCAAATTTTATAACCACCTAATCAAAGTTGGTTTTTCAGGTACACTGCCCCGATGGTGTTCAAAGTGGTCTTTGATGAACTTGGATTCCGGGCGAAAGACGAATTATGAAACTTCACAAATGAGCAAATGTGGATATAAATGACAAGTTCCTATCGATGTTTCGTCACAGGGCATTTCTTACCGAATGCGCTTTATGTTATGAAAAGCTACCTATATAAGTTCAATATTCAGAAGTCAGTATATTTTCATATCAAATCGAAAATTTATCTAATTGAACTCACCAAATAGGAATAATACAAATCTGCCAAGAAAGGTAAGCACGATCATCCATTATTGTCGATCGTATTCGTCTCATTATTATGGGAGCCTATTTAAACAGGCTCGGTGCAACGAAAGTTGCCATTATTTAGTTAATCAAATAATGCCACCACGATTTATTGGAGCTTTATTTGTGATGTGATAATATGTAGGTGGGACCTGAAGTGATGATAACCGCATAACTTGAAATTAACGTCAGAATTTTTGAGTTGGCATTATTTTAAATGGATAGATGGAATATGAATGGAAAGTAGAACAATTTTTACAGTGGCTCTAACTACTTATTAAACGCAAAAATTAGAGGCTTCTGCCCTTCGTCTAGACTAGAGGAAGAGAAATGACTCTTGCATTTTATAATAATAAGTTTGCATGCGTCATAAATTAACAAAACGCAGCGTCTCTGACTGAGGCGGGACGAGACGGGTAATTTCCCAGATGAAATAACGAGACGAAGCTAGGAAAAATTAGTCCCATCAATATAATCCGGGCAATAACTGTAACCCGATACTCAAAAATTTTGTTCCTGGCCTTAATAAACGTTACAGGAGAGACAAATGACGAGAAGATCAGACATTTTATCACAATAAAAGAGAAAACAGACATTCCATTGCTATAGGAGACAAAAAGATACATTCCATTGCGATAGGAGACAAAAAGATACAAAAATACACACAAATTGATAGTGATTGTTTTCATATTGTTTTCCAAACCTTTGTAAGACCCACGGAGCAAAGTTTATTTATTGTTTTATATTTTGGGGTTGGAATAGCAAGGCAATACCAGTTAGTATTTTCCGGATAGTTGGTACGCCTGCGCGTAGCACCAGGATTTTGATTTTTTAAACTATTTAGTAAGCGTTTTACGAGTATATCATGCACTGTTTGACTATATTTTAAGTCAAAATAAAATTTTCAATCCGTTTTGAATCGGCAACGACGCAGAGGCGATATCTAGGTATTTATCGGGAAATAAAAGACGATCAATTATGTAAAATATCATGCAATTTATTATTCAAATATCACATTGAGTATTAACTGATATTTCTCGTTGTAAGATGCATGTGTATATAGTAAGAAAAATACTACAGCTCATATTTTATACGGCTGTCTCGTCTCGTTTTGGTACATTTTTCTACTCTCCAGAGTACAAAATTATTTATTGCATTTATCTTCTTTATAGCAGTCCAATTAGTTTTATTGCCTTGTTAACTTTATACATGTATTTAACATAGTCAAAAGTACATTAGATGATTAGACTCCTGAACCTGTTTTGAGGACCACGTGGAAAGTACTTGCTATATACTTTTTTGTGTTTAAACATAATAAAATTTCTAATTTGTTTGTAATATTTGGATGACAAAATAGTATTTATTTATTGTAGCATGGCCAATTTTTTATTACCATTCATCTATACCTTGAAGAAGTGTTATCTTGTCGCTCGCAATGAGGACCGAAACGTGCAAGCTGATCCTGCAAAATAATACCATACATTAATATAATTATGATCACTCGTGATTAGCGGAGTTAATTTGTTATGACGAATAAACTCGGTGGTGTCAGTATGAGCCACGTACGTGATGCGACTTCTTTCGTATGATTGCACCGTGTCGAATAATGTGCTATAAGCTCGAAACGAAACTTTTTCTAGCTCTCTCGCTAGAAAAAGTTGGCGCTTTTCTGTTGGCGCTTTCATTCTCGATATAGATCCGCGAGAACGGGGTTTATTTAATATTAAATTTTATATTATTATTTTATGTTTCCTTGCTTAAGATTTGCAATACACTTTCCTGTTGTTGTTTAACTTCTCGACCATGAAGTCTAGGTACCATCTCAGCTGTCACTTATTCAGCAATTTAGAGTGTCCTTGCTATATTTGCTGGTCTTCTTGGAGTAACCAATTCCGAATTGTATACGGACAAATACAAAGGTCCAGTGTATCGTAACGGCAAATTTTGTCTCAGTTAAATTTGATCTAGAATGATGGGACAGAGAAATAAAATAGAGTTATGCGTGGTTATTATAAGGAGCTGGCCTACTTGAGCAGCTAGGGTCTCGGGTGGATCAGGAATGACGCCCAACTCTTAGCATAGCGGCGAGATGCCGCGAAGTTGGAAGCCAGGCTGCAGGCTATTTTACAGTGTTCTGGTCCTACACAGTTAGGGACGAGAGCAGCAGGCAGCGAGATGTTGCTACAGTAGGTGGCCTCAAGGATGGAGGCAGCTGGTAACGAAGAAGAGAACTAATCGAGGAAATGTATAGAAATACAAGTTGTAATGTGAGTCCAGATCATGGCTTGCAGAGCTAAGTGATATACAGATTTCTAGATCAAAATCTTGTAGTTCATTAAGGTATCAGTTTATATGCGATCACATGAAGGCTTTGAAAGTGTATGGTCATATAAGTGCTATTAACACGGATGTTATTCAGTTTAATCAGACACGTGAGCAATAATATTGTTGCTGTCAAGCCGTTGCTAACCTGGAAGTCGTTGCAAGAATAGGTGCTTTATATCCAGTTATATCGTGAGCTGAAAAGGCTTTTATTTATGGAAGCAGTTCAAATAAACAAACCTCGCGGTTCCAAATAAAATAATCCAGGGATGCACATATTATAAACTGTAAGCATATACAAGCTATCATAACCCCTAACGTTTTTCTGTTTTAACCACGAAGCCAGGCAAGCGAGTTAATTAAAAAATCCAATAAACGAAGAAACTTCACTTACTTTTCCATCTTCTGTTTGATATGAGACAACATCCCCAACATTTATCCAAATTAATTATTGTATACTAACAATTTCACATCAATAGTAAAACAATAACTCTAATTCATTGATTCTCTATTCCAATCGGAATTTTTTCATGAGTTTAGTTTATATTTTTCCATCTTATCGATATCTCACGTTTAACTAAACATCGTTCAAATTCAAATCTAGTTGTAAGCTGATTTAAACAAGTTTAAAGTTTTCCTAGTTCTAAACTCTATTTTCCCTGCTGAGAATGCAACCAGAGCGTCATTTCCATTTTTCAGTAAAAGATCGTGGGGCTGATTCTGATAATATTAAATATAAATTATTTTTGCCAGTCACAAAAGCGCTCCCTCTATTCGTTACTCACAGGGCGATTTTGCCGTCACGTTGATCGAGGCTGGGGCGCTCTACGGCCGAGTCTCTGGCGACCGTCTGGAACACCGCGGCAGAGGCAGCCACGGAATGTAGACCAAAAAGCGGACATAGAGAAGCTGATTTACGTTCGGTCCGAGTCCTAGGCGGTTCCTAATTCAGGCTCGCCAGGCTCGCCAAATTTTGATAGGGAAGCTTCTCTATGTCCGCTTTTTGGTCTACATTCCGGTCCCCGAATCAGACAGCTACCAGAGCCTGGTGAGGGGACTGAAGGGATTCTGCCAACTATTGCCCTACTCTCAGGAGACCATAAAGTCGGCCAGGAGGTTCTGACTAGTCGCTGATTGCGATCAGTTGGCCAACTGACCCAGAATAACTCTAACACGAACATTGCAACTCTGGGGCAGAGGCTGAAGCATACCCCGAATTTTGTTAGGAAATTAACATTACGGCCGCCGTACATAGCGTGTATATGAGCACTACATGCAAGTTTCATTGTGTACAAAAATAAAATAACAACTGGCCTGGCTGCAAACTTCTAAAGCGAAAAATTCTGGATTGAGAAATACCTAAATGAGAGAATAACGAGATAGCAGGATGCCCTCATTACGCAATAGTGCTGTTGCCAAATTTCAATTTCAAATCCCTTCAAGAAACGACTGAAGGTGTTCCTGATCGCAATCACGGATCGGCACCAATATCAGTGGCAAGGAGCAAGCAACAGCATCGTGCATCAGCTGACCCAACTGAGGGCAGATGCGTGGTAGTTACAACTTGGCTCCGGGACCTTTGGCGGATAGGACGACTTGCCTGCCGGGGCTGATGGCGGCGGAATGCTAAGGCGGCGTAATACTTCAGCATGGTAAAGTAATAAAGGTAATACTTCAGCATGGTCGTAAAGGTAATACTTCATGGTCGTAAAGGTAATACGTAAAGGTAATACTTCAGCATGGTCTGGGATGGCGATATACGACGGATCGCCTGCCGCCAGGTCGCTTCGTAAGTTAAGGTCCCGGTTACTCTGAGTGGCTCACATGCCGGCTGGTCGAAGGAAGTATACTAGACGTACTCAAGTCAGGGTCCTGGCTTACTCAAAAAGCAGGGTTGTCGTAATGCAACGCAAACTTTGTTAAGAATTATTAAAAACTGCCAATTTTAGAGTTTTATAACAGTTTTTATTCGCGAATGAATAAAAAATTGCTTTATCTAACTGATATAGCCAAAGTTAACTTTCCATGTCAAGATTAACAGGGAAGTTATTCATGCCTAAGTGAGCATTGAACTCTGCATTTTTGTATTAATTAATCATCGCGAGAATGAAACTAGGAAGACTTCGGACGAATACGAGTGGCACACGAAATTTTTATTTGAGTTCTAAATTCACATCATTTAAGCTGCTAAAGAATGCTTCGATTGTTCACTTCAGAAGCCGTTTAATACCGAATGAAGCTCCACTGGCCAGCTGTCTAAAAAAAAATTTGACGCCGGTAAACGCTCTATTCTTTTGAAATCTATTATCAATTTCCCGGGTGGAAAAATTTAACGACGATTAAGTTATTAAGTGACATTTTCCAAGCAACAAAACTGAAGTTAAATTATCAACTTTGATACTTATGTAAACCTCTTCATTTGTGCGATATAGTGCCATTGGATTCAAATTAAATTCAAATTTTAGTATAATTAGTGACATTCATCCCTTCTTAAAATCACTTCTAACTGCAAGTAATTAGATTTATCTGCAGATAACCGCCACTGACAAGTCACCCTGCAGCATTTCACCAGACGACGAACAGTTTTCACTTCTTAACAGAGTTAACCTTCATCTCTAACGTAGCCCACCCCTAACGTCAACCTTCCAACCATTTAATGTTAACCTAGTGCATGGAAGCCCATGTTAATTAAATAGTTGTTTGGAGGACAATAAAATCGTAATACTGAAATAAAGTTTATAAGTTGTATAGCACTATTTTATGGCTAGCTTAAATTCTACAAGTAACGAGGAAATTGGCAATATAATTTTCCAATTACCTCACTCGATCTAGAGGAGAAATATATAACGACGTTGAAAAATTAAAGAAACTGGCAGAAGCAAATAAATAGGGTTCAGTGATAAGGATCAACGCATTTTTCGAACGTTCTACAATTCAAATAAATTTGTTATCGGAGCTAAGGTTCAATTCAAAGATGCACAGTAGAAACGCGCACGAATCTTCCAATAACGAACTTAGATTTCTTCTAAGTACGTATTACAACTTTTACGATTAAATAAAAATCGAACCTATGTCAATTCAAAATCAGGCCCCCAATATCTAGTGCTCGCAACAGTGTAAAGAGCCCTTAGAAGACTGGTAATGCTCACAATCTATCGATGTAAGTCTAGGCCAGTACAAATGACTGCCCGAAATGGAGCGGCCGTCCAATTCAGCCTTTTTATAGTTGCCATTTGTTTCTGGCGAGCAGTAATTATCCTTCAGGTTCTCGCGCAGAATGAAACTTTATATTTAGTAGGAATTCGCAAGTATACGTAACCACAATTTAACAATAGGTCTTGGTTAAAAATCCACGATTCCCGCGGAAGCAGCGTGTATTTGCAAATTTCCATCTTCATAATTTGGCATTCAGAAGCTAAAATTTCCATCTATAGAAATAATGCAAGGACTTTTCACTTCATGAAGATGTGTCAAGAGACTGTAATGCAGGACGTACCCAGACAACCAAAAAAGTTTGTGGTTTATGCAGTACTTTATTTCTGTCAACTCAAGTGTTAACCTTTACACAAACCATGACATTACGTACGTCACTGGGTTAATAAAAATGTTGTCTACTAATGCATCTCCAGCACATAAAATCAATTTTGCATTAGCTGGTGGACACGCAGTAATTTTAGATTTCTCAGATTCGTGAAGTTTGGCAAATCGCTTTTGTCTTAACTTTGGTACGGAAGATTCGTCTCCGGCCTTAGTGGCACTCGCCTCGTTTAAATCAAATACGTCGGCATCTGTGGATAGGCTGGGATTTTGCAGAGATAGAGACTCGAAAAAGTCATTAATGGATGCTTGGCGCTTCTCGTCAGCACCAATGCGCGAACTACGGTCAGGCAAACCATTTCCACTTGGATCATTTTCCGCTATATCCAATATTGTGGGAGGTCGAACCCGATTCTCAGAAGATTTGAGGGGGTCCGAGTTTCGTCCTTCAGATAAAGGCTCGTTTGAAAACTGCGAGTGCGGTTCCAAAGGTAAGGGTTCTAGGTTTAATCCAGGAACTTTCTCCGTCAGCACATAGCTCTGCACGTTTGGAGGAATCGGCAGCTGGTTCTGAGCATGGTTCAATTGAGGCGGAGCTGCTTGTCCCAACTTTTCAAAAGATTGTCTAGGTTCTATTGGTGCAGTAGAGTGCGCTTGATTCAGTCCAGCAACTGGAGCCTGCGGAGGTTGTATTTGAGGGGCTGTGAGTTGCGGTGAAGGTTTAGATGAAGCGCGAGGATCTCCGACAGACGGGGCAAGCTGAGAGGGGATGGGTCGCAGGTACACGTTCCCGTCGGCGTCAAATAAGACTTTCTGTTCGCTTGACGTTGTCGGGCCTGAATACCCCGTGGCCTGTCGAAAATACATGTTAAAATGACTAATCACGTAGAACTAAAGAATTTCACTAATGGAGATCGTGAATAAATTACATTTTCACAGACGTGCAGGTTAATTTTGATCCTTTGAGATGGTTTTATTCAGTAGTTACTATTTGAATAGACTGGAGAGGGAGCATTTTATACCCAAATGGTCAAATAATACGACCATGTGCTTCTTCAAGTAGAGGCTCGTCATTTTACAGCTTAACTAAGAGCGACACAAATTAAAAAGAATGTCTATTTATTGACATTTAAACCAGCCTTTGTCGAAAAATTAATGTCTACTCCATGTCCGTAGGAGTGCAGCAACGCCGTTTCCAGAATTCCTCAAGATCCGGAATTACTACAACTACAAACCTCTTCTTGCCAATTGAAAAGCCATGCCAGGTACAAGGAAAAAGATATCAGACCTACGAATCTCAAGTTGAACTTCTATTTATATGAACAAGTGAAAATTCAAAACGACTAACACTCACAGGAGCTTCGAAGACTTGTTGTTGGGGCAGCCGTGGCGGAGGTGGCGGCGGCAGTTGCAGCTTTGGCTGCTGTGGCTGCAGAATTTGTGGCTGAATCGGCCGCTGTGGTAGAAGCTGCAGCTGTGGTCTCGTTGGTTGTGGCGGCAGTTGCAGCGGTGGCTGTGGCGGCAGTTGTGGTTGCGGTGGTTGAGGCGGCAGCTGTGGTTGCGGTGGCTGTGGCGATGGTTTAGCTGCAAGCGGCTGACTTCCAAGACCTTGCAGCACAGAAAAAACACCACCCAGAAGTTGGGGTGTCGAGTATTCTTCTCCAGGTGGAAAGTTCGATTTAATAGCTCGTCCCAAGTAATCCATTGTGGCTTCATCAATTGGCTGCGAGTTTTTGTAATTTCCTGCCACGTTTTTGCCACTCTTCAAGTACAGGTCGTAATCGCCGTGGTAGGTCTCTTCGAACACCCTCATCAAGTGATTGTGGTCAGCAATTTGTTCTTCATTCATGTACATTTGAAGGAACTTTTTGAATTTGGGGTTTAGCTATTGAAAAAAAAAATTAGAGTGCATCATCAAGTGAATCCTAAGTTTAACGGTAATTCAGCCTTACTTACGCTCAACTACAACAAAATTATTTCAATTATATTCATGCACCTGAAAGAATCCCTTCAAATTCAAACCACTGAAATGTGCGTCTATATGCGCTGCGAGCGATAGAATCCCTATCCGAAATGACGAGCCGAAATCCTAATGTAACCTACGCGTTCTTTCACAGGTTCTCATCAAAATTCATGTTCATCGTTAGGTTCGATGATATAAAACAGGGAGATGCAAGTCAGAACTTACGCGGTAACCTTTGCCGTATATCGACGTCATCACGTAGCCGAAACTCGGCGTCATGAAGTCCAGAGTGAATAACAAGTTGTTCAGGAAGTCTGATCCTATCTGACGAGGAGAATGCAGGTATTGGAGACAAAATCAGAGTGAAAGGCGACCAATTCAATGTATCCAGAAAACCTATACTTCATCAGGGATGGTCCCACCCACAGAGTTTTCGGTTATTCTTCCAAGAATCTAAAATGAAATCATGCTAGATAATTACATTCGACACACGTAAGTGCAGTGGTAATTTCCAAACCATTCACAAAACACTAGAGAAAATAAATGTAGCAAATTCCATGCATCAATGTTCAGGCCTATTCCTTCTTACTTGCGTGCTGCCTTGCTGCAGCGCATATAAGGCACGTTGAAACGAATCTATCAACGATCGACCTTCAGCTTTCAAGGATCTCCTGGCGCGTTGCAGAATCCTGTTGGCCATCTCTTCGTCACTCATGGAAGAGCTGGCAGTGCAAACTAGCACCGTAAGACAAAATAACCTGAAATCGTATTTTCGTTACGGGAAAGCAGTTACAAGAAAACAAATTACGCAATATGCGCCTACGTGTAAATATGGTTCACAAAGATCAATTTGAAAAAATCGTAATAATTACACTTTCATTCAAACATCCTACTCATAAGCTGTGAATCTGAAGATTCAAGGCAAAGTAAGCAGAACAATGGCTACACAATGTTTACACGAAGGTACATTCGGATACCTGCACTCTAAAACCTTTATTCATTACTGCACGACCGCTGTTTGGCAATCAACACCGTCTTGGCAGACTCTTCTTCGAATGAATATTGATACCCCCTATTGCTACTCAACCAAACCGGAATATACTCTTGATTAACTCACCTTCGATAATCTCCAGGACTACTCTATAGATCCGCTTAGCCTCCACATGATAGCCAAAAAGCTGTTACGCTCTCGATCACAGCCACAATTACCCCCTCAGACAATCTCACGATAACTGCAATCCACTCCACGCTGGTTCAAACACCAATTAATCTCGCCCTCTTTCAGAATAGCCTTCATCAATAAATTTCATTCTCCTGCGACTTTCATTCCACCATCAGCAACCCCAAAGTTATTAATCCACACCACACAAAATATTTGTAATTTCTTCCGCAACACCTGCACGTCCAATCGCACTCTGCGCTCGGGCATCAAACATTCCAGAGTCCCTACCACTGCCATTATATATAATATAAATTAGTCCTTTGACAATCGGCATTACTTTCATCTGACTAAGATGGAAGCGAAAGAGAGACTACTACAGGTGCAAATTGACTACTTTACGCTGAGCGCCATTTCACAACATTCCAGTAATTTTCGTGACCACAAAATCATGACTTCAAATCATATCTGAAGGGTCGATACGTTTCACGACGAAGTAATATTCAGAAACTATACTAAAATCTGAAGCATTGTTTAGCAGATTTCTGGATGTTCACGTAAGCGTTGCCAGGATGCGGTAGCAGTTTTCATTAATGGCAGCATTTAATGCAAGACAACAGTAACCTAACCTCGTCACGATCTTATGAACACCGCAAATTCACGAAGGAAGAATAAGGATTAAAATTTTGACCGGGTTACCGCATTTTATGGAAATTCGACAATTTATCCTTAAAATTTCCAGTCATGATCGAATTTAAATGGGATTGTTGAATTCGACCGAACTCAAGTCGCACATGAGACAGGACAACAATTAGCTATCCCAGACTGTCACAAATAATGAATTAACAAGTTAGAGATGGAACCGATCACACCATCCAACAAATACGGAATATCAAGGAGCTAAAAATATTTGGCATCACATATGCCAGAATAAATTATATCCATGAAAGACGTACGCATTCCACCTGAATATTCGCCTTCGAGTTCAAATATTCACAGTGCGAGATTTTGAAGAATTTCGAGATCAAATCAACAAAACGATACCACAGACCAAGTTACGTGCGCACTTGATGGCTTTCTTTCTTTACCCAAAACATGATCAAACCTACTGGAATCTTCCCTTTCTCACCTTAGCACTTTCATCCTGAAAAGTTTTCGATGCAAACAATACAACGACGGCTCAGCCCAACTGTACACGACCAAAGGACTACCAATGGCAGTGACGTCCGCGATGTTACCAAATGAAGGAAAAAATTACACCATGCTAAGTTTCATGTGATATGAAGTGCGACAAGCGTTCGACACGTGTTCACTGAAGGTGCGACATATTCTTTGAAAAAAATTATCCAGCCTGTGATCATTTTGGTGTGAAAGATATGTGAAAAAGGCTTTGATGTGAAACAATAAAACGGTCAAGGAATTTCCTCGAGGTTTAGGCGCAAGTTAAAGTTGAGATACAAGAGACATCGGCGTTGTTAGACCAAAACGACAAACGCGATGCAGTTTTGTATGTACGAATGATTTGCTTGTGATTGAGTCGCTGACACATATTTCAGTCGATGAGGAAGTCTATTTAAATAATCAAACGTTTAATAAAATTGCACCGCAACAGGCATTTTAACCCCGTTATGTTCTGAAATAATTCAAACAAACTTACACTCATGACAAGTTAGCCAGTGTTTACCCTTTATATTTTCGACTGACAACAGTAGCTACTATTAAGTTTCTTCAACTAAAATAGCAAAGTGTTTGTCAAAATTTTTCTCCTACTCTCTTGTAAGGATCCGTATCTCGGAACAGGCTAAGACAGCAAAAATGTACAATGTGTTTTTAGGGCAAGCTCTGCAGCAAAAGCTTCCGATAATCTTTTGAAATCTTACCTTTCTGATAATTTTTTGTTCCTGCTTCATTCTAGCAATGCTATACGTATATTCTATATACGTGAGTTACTTAAGAATTTAGTCATGTGACATCCTCGAAAATCAACAATCGCTGGCCTATATTCTTCAATTGAAAATAAGGAAATGGGTCATTGTTGAGTACCTGGTTAGATTGGGACAAATTACAGACGAAAGAATTAAAATTTACTCCTCTTCCTTCAAAATGTTATTTCCTCTAGGCCATTACAATTTTACCTTAAAACGGTAATAATGAGTATTGTGATGCATTTGCGTGCGTTGTGATGAAGAACATCACTTCTTTGAACAGGTATGTACTCTAGCATTCGCATAATTGCGTGCATGATGAAGGTGAATGGTGAATTTATGGTGAATTTCGAAGATGATGAAGAATCATTTCACGAGAAAATTTTTTGTTGTTTCCTGACATTACACAGGCAGTATTCATCCGCATTCTAGTTTTTGAAAAGTACTTTTAACGCATTCTATTGATGAAAAATCAGTCAAGCATTAAATAAATTGATCTTTCAGCATTTTGTCGTCAAATAGGAGCAAGAGAACGAAAGAAGACATATTCTATAAACTAATGATTTTTATCTGATATATAGTGTATCGTATAGTTATGCGCAGAATATTTCTAACAAATTTGCAGCTGATTGACTGAACAGCGCAAAAATTTATAAAACTTCCTCCATAAAAAATTTGATCAATTTACTTTCAAATAAGGAACCAAAAGTTATTTTAAAAATCAATAATATTTAACTCGTAGACTCGTAGATTCACAGCTTGTTGCGATCTCGAACTCGCAACTCACTGCCTCAATTCTGCTGTGCTTAACCGCCCGGCCTCCTTGCCGATTCTGACCAGAAACTGGCGCACAGAGCTGGGATCGAACCCGCGCCTCTCTGCGCCAATCTTGGTACTCGGAACTTTAACTACTGTGCCACCCTGCTGATTGTTTCTGATTGAGAGTATGAGAGTGAAATGAAATCAATAACAAAGAAAAAGATTTTAAATAACTTCATTTTGATCAAATTTATGAAAAAGATCAGAATTGCAAAATTTAACAGGAAAAAATTATATGCGACTTCTCTTGATTCCTCTGCCCACTCACGGAATCTGCTCAATCTTTGTACACAAAAGCATTAGCCGTGCCAGTAAAGTAAATTTCATACACCATTACACATCTACTCCAGTTGCACTGAATTGGCTCTGAAAGTAACGCTCGCTCTGCGTCGGTTATTCAGTTGCTCTGAATTGGCTCTGAAAGTAACGCTCGCTCTGCGCCGGTTATCCAGTTGCTCTGAATTGGCTCTGAAAGTAACGCTCGTTCTGCGCCGGATGAACAGTACAGTTTTAGCTAAGCTGAAAACAAAGAAGGAAGCATAGCAGCGTTATTTACAGACTCGCAGCGATGCTGACTATAACCAGAGCTGGGTAGCGCTACTTGGAAATGTAGCGGCGCTACCGCTACATGCTCTAAATGTAGCGGGCGCTACCGCTACCGCTACACCCACTAGATTGTAACGGGCGCTACCGCTGCCGCTACAGTAACCGCTCTGATAGTACCGCTCGCTCTGCACCGGTTATCGAGTTGCTCTGAATTGGCTCTGGAAATAACGCTCGCTCTGAATCGACTATGTAAAATAGCGTTCAAAATCGGCACAGATAAGCGCCACCTCCAAGAAATACATCCCGCTTTGGCTTTACGGTCATCGATCTCAGAGGTATTAACCATCGACACATGCTTGATTCCAACTGGGATCAAATATTAGATTTTTATCCAGCAAGTTATGTTTTCGTACATTGGTGAAGTTTGAGCGCTTATTTTCTACTCAGCTCTGCTAACATTTATGGCAAATATGTTACTAATTGGACTTTTTAGCACATTCTCTCAATTATGGAAAAAGGCGCTATTGTGCTCATGTCCGTCAGTCCGTCCGTGACTTCACAGACGGACGGACGGACGAGAAAATGTGCTCTCTGTCACTCACTGCAGTGAGTACTGATCTAATTTTTTCAACATACCCAGTTTTAGTGACATAACGCCTTTTTGTTATTGAAAAATACTATCACAATTTTGCGGTATAGGAGTAGACGGTGATCTTTTGTTATAAAGTTAAAGGGAAATTTTTTATTTTTTACCTCTTAAACCGTGATAATTTGACTGGTTGTTACTGTGGACCGCTTTCGATTAAAATCTGCTGTTAAGCGCACAATATTGAGGACCGAATAATATTAAAGAATGCGGCTCTTTTGACGACAACTGAACTGTGTGGGCACATTGACAATTGATCAGGTGAGGCAGGCAATTCGGTTCCTGGGCCTATACTTGCAAAAAAAAATTAAGAAATCGTAAGTCCATCAGCCAATCATTGACGGCCTTTCGAGCAAAATCCACCAATCATAGACAAGAAAATAGAGCGTAAGTACTTACGTTCACTTAGGGAATTTTGAAAGTATGGTCCCAGAGCATGCAACTGCAGGACCTTGCCACGCGGCTCTTCATTTGATGCACGCTTGAAAGTCACTAATAAATTGAACAACTCGAGCACCAGACGCAGTGATTCGCCCAAGCTCGCCGTTTCGTAAATTGAGCACAGTAGTGTGAAGATAAAAGATTCGTCGACGCAGCTAAATATTTCCCGGTATTAATTATGAACAGACTTCAGTATTGAAGAGTAATTTCGGATTGAAGACTCCAGTGGCAAGCATGCAAGTGAGATCAATAAGTAATTATTTATCGGACGCTACACTATGGTTGAGGTAGCGATCCTACTTCCAATGTCTCAACTTTTTCCACTACCAGCAACAACGAACTATAATTTCCTACTACAATGACGTCCTTCCATCACGTGATGGGATTTGTTACAATATAGGTTTAGTCTTAAATTCAAAACAAGAACGAGCTTTGGTCCATGCATCTCAAAAGTCATTTCGGACTCAATCAAATTTCAGAAAATTATCAACCGATAATCCGCGGTCCAGAACAGGCCGGTGAGTGGCCACCCTGACGCCATTGCGCGAAATTCTCCACACGAGCTGAATTTATAAGAACGAAAAATAGGCATTGGCAGAATTTGGCCAATGATATTAGATATTAAAATTCTGATTTTAGATATTCTGATATTAGATACTAAATGCGTTCATAAGCTGGTAACCACGTAGACAATAGGGCTAATAAAAATACTTACAGCAAAAGGTTAAGGTTTGTTTTCAATTAAACTCACCACATTTCTTCTCTCCGAGATCGAACTAAAATTAAAAGCGATTCAAGAGCAGGCGGCCATTGGCCGTCCAATGGCCACCGCAAATCTGCTTATAATTTTCAGTTTGACCGCGACTCTTGCGTCAGGAAGATTACAATAAACACTTTCTTATAATTTATACTTTATTAAGCTAACACACTCTTGATTTTCAAGGGAAAATCTAATGTAATGAACAATTATTCGATTATTGACCCAAGTTTCGCAATAGGAGTAAAATTTAGTCAATTATCAGATGCATATTGTAAAAAGGGATGAAATTATCCTTGTTTTGTACAACACGTTAAAAACCAATACTTGATGCAATATGGTGGCAAATCATTGGAGGTGACACATATTGTTGCGACTAAATCAGAAATCAATGCATTACAGCGAACAAAGTTATTCCCGTGTAGGGAGCTTATAAAACAATATATTTTTTTCTGTTAAAAATTACCATTTCCTCATGGCGCTTCCATCTGAACATTTTATTCTACGTGAGGGAAGAAAGGCAACCTGGAATTCCCAGCTTATAAATCAGAAAAATGTAAATACATTACAAAGTGATTTTGAAAAGATAAAATTGTAAAATCTCAACTAGATAAATTCAATACGCATAAGGTGTGCGCTACGAGAAGTTATGCGTACATTATCAAGGAATCGTAATTATTATCATAGAAAACTCGAAGAAAATGAAAATGTGAAGGAAGTTCTGCGATCGACGTTCGGCATAAATATATCTAAAATCATGCCGTCGTCTAATACTGATAGCATGAATTACTGAATTATGCAAAACAAGTTCTCATACTAATCATTATATACTAGCGAGTAAAAAACCTCCCTATCAGTTCATCTAGGTCACGATCAACAACAAGGTTCCGTTACGTAAAGACATTGTAACAGCTCACGACCATGCATCCATCACGCAGAAACTAAATTTCTAATAAACTTTTCGCCAACAATGAATTGCGATGAAAGAAATTTCGTGGGCGCCCCCATATTCGATTGCAAAATGAATCACGAACTATGGCATGGATTCACACTGAACGCTTTACTGGGTGGGAATAAAGCACAATCAAGGGGATGAATTCAGGAGCAG